ATTGTAGACACTCATTTTCGCCCGGAGTTTATGTATGTATGTATGTACGTACGTACGTACGTATGTATGTATGTATGTATGTATGTATGTATGTATGTACGTACGTATGTATGTACGTATGTATGTATGTATGTATGTATGTATGTATGTATGTATGTATGTATGTATGTATGTATGTATGTATGTATGTATGTAGTATGTATGTATGTATGTATGTATGTATGTATGTATGTATGTATGTATGTATGTATGTATGTATGTATGTATGTATGTATGTATGTATGTATGTATGTATGTATGTATGTATGTATGTATGTATGTATGTATGTATGTATGTATGTATGTATGTATGTATGTATGTATGTATGTATGTATGTATGTATGTATGTATGTATGTATGTATGTATGTATGTATGTATGTATGTATGTATGTGTAGTATGTATGTATGTATGTATGTATGTATGTATGTATGTATGTATGTATGTATGTATGTATGTATGTATGTATGTATGTATGGTATGTATGTATGTGTATGTATGTATGTATGTATGTATGTATGTATGTATGTATGTATGTATGTATGTATGTATGTATGTGTGTATGTATGTATGTATGTATGTATGTATGTATGTATGTATGTATGTATGTATGTATGTATGTATATGTATGTATGTATGTATGTATGTATGTATGTATGTATGTATGTATGTATGTATGTATGTATGTGTATGTATGTATGTATGTATGTATGTATGTAGTATGTATGTATGTATGTATGTATGTATGTATGTATGTATGTATGTATGTATGTATGTATGTGTATGTATGTATGTATGTATGTATGTATGTATGTATGTATGTATGTATATGTATGTATGTATGTGTGTATGTATGTATGTATGTATGTATGTATGTATGTATGTATGTATGTATGTAGTAATATAGTTTTTGAAAATATTTTTAAAATATATATATAATATATGGTTTGAAAACATTTTTGAAAACATTTATTTATTATATAGTTTTTAAAATATTTTTGAAAACATTTATATATTCTATAGTTTTTAAAAACATTTTGAAAATAGATATATATTATATAGTTTTTGAAATTTTTGAAAACTTATATATAATATATAGTTTTTAAATGTTTTTAAAATATATATATTATATTGTTTTTAAAAAATATTTTTAAAAATGGTTTTTTAAATATTTTTTAAAATATATATTATATAAATTTTTTCTTCTTTTGAAATATTTATTATTATTATTATTATTATCATTATTTATTATATTAATTTATTTTTTTTCTTTTTCTTTTGGTTCAGGTCCAAAGAGTCTTGTTTTGTCCAGTTAGGTTTGGGCCTGACTCAGCCCGTCAAGGCTTAGGGTTTGAGAAACCCTAAGGTGATATCAGTCACAAACGTCACATGGTCAAACAACGAAGAGTCACTAACGTCCAGAATCACGCTGGCCGAGATTTTCGGCCGAGGGAATCGAGACTGACCCATCCTGATATCCCCGGCCAATGACGGGTCGGTTACCGTGCTAATCGGAACTGACAAACAATGGTGGTGGGTATAAATACCCCACCACCCATTAACACAGGGGAACGAACTAAAAGAGAACCATCAACGGGGAACCATGATACCAACAGAACACGAAACCATCAAACACAGTACCCACAGGGAATACCATTATCGAGAGCCATAAAAATACCCAAAATAGCACAATACCATAACCAACTACATCAACAGTAAACCAAACACCCAACACCGAACACACAAAAAACGCAATCAACAGACGAGTCTATCCAACACAAAACAACCATCATCGAACAACCAAGTTCACAAGCAAAGACACAACACAAAGATAGAAAAGCAAAAAAAAAAAAAAGAACAAAGCCAAATAAACCCGAAGCGTTGCTGGTGAAAAGGTGAGGATACCGAACGATCTCGACTTAGATCTACGCCGTTCAAGGTTAGTTCTGCGCAATCGAGGCTCGGGGTTAGACTAAAGGTGTTGAGGAGAGTTTTTTGGGTTGGGTGTATTTTCCGGGCGCCAGCCGGTGTAGCGTTTGGCGGCCACGGGTGGTGGCCTGCATGTGACCGGGGAGGAGGAGTGTTGAGAGAGTTTGAGAGTTAAAAGAGGTATCATATTGAGAGAAGAGGTGAAAATGAATGTGTTTGGGCATTATTTTCATTTTTATACGACCTGTGTACCCATCTGTAACCCACGGGCGACCCAACCATTAAGTAAGGATCCGCGTGATTTAAGAAAAAATGGGAAAATCTCATTTTAGTCCCCCCTATTTTATAAAACTCCTATTTTTACCCCCAATCTCAATTCAGGTTTCGATTCTCTCTTAAATTCGATCATCAATCTTGTTTTTATTACAATTTGATCCCCTATCATTATATTTTTTATTATTTATTTTTTTCTCTTTTTTATTTATTATTATTATCAATACTTTTTTTCATTTTATTATTGTTCCCTTTTTATTTTATTTTGTTTTATTTTTATTCTTATTTATTTACTTATTTGCTTATTTATTGTTTGTTTGTTTTCCTTCTTTTTAACATTTATTTTCATAATGTTTCTTTTTATTTCTTTTTATATCTAACCTGTTTTATTTTTTTTTTCTTTCTTTAATTTTTGTTCAATTCTTTATTTTCCTTTTTGACTTCTTTTATTATTATTATTTTTTTTTGGATTTATTTAATACTTAATATTTGTCTTTTTCTTCTAACATTTTTGACTCTCTTTTTAGAGATAAATTCCAACTGAGCAATCGAATTGAATGCTTTTAAATTTTAATTTTAAATTTTTGCAATTACGACAACCGACAAATTAATTGGTACCAAAAGGGCGGTTCAAGGGTTCTAATCCTTCATTAACCGTAACCGACTCCCGAACTCGACACATTTCTGGTACAACGCAGATCATGTAAGATGGTGTCCGACCAACCTAAATTCGTTTTAAAATGGCTGGTGGTGACTCCTAAGCATTTAATCCAAGTCGAAGCCCAATTTCAGGCCCAACCGAAAGACGATTTCGACAGCTTGGCGATTCCGCTGGGGACAGGTAAGTGAGTCAAGCCAGAATTAATTTTCGGTTATCTTTTTAAGCGAAAATAATAATTTTAAATTTAAATTTATTTATCTGATTCTAATTATTTACCTTTGATTATTTTTCAAATAAATATTTGTACTGATATTTTTTTCCAATGATTTCAAAGTTTTGAAAAGATTTTATCTCTGGCTCTATATCCGAGCTATGAACCCTTTTTAAGTGGGGGTAAAAGCGATGCCTTCATGAGAATTTATTCTCCGCACAAGCCTAGCAAGTAACCTTCGAGATTCATATACCTTATGTCTTCGTGTGAATTTATTCATAGCATAGGCATAAGGGAATGTATCCTCTCGAGTTTAACTTAGTCCACACAAGCTTATAATGGGCTTAAGACTAAGGGTCTGACAAGCCTAAGAGGGCACAAGCAAGGAGAACTCGGGTTCCCTTTTAGAACCTAAACCATGAGAGTACAGGGAATTAGAGCCCACCCCAAAACCTCATTTCAAACCCTAGGATGCCTAAATTATTTTCTGCTTTATTTTTCTGTTCAAAGCATGTGAACTAGAAATTTATGTGGTTAGGACTTGCTCAAAATCAACTTACGGGATAGAGACATGTTCGGGTAGGAATAATAAGCATGTGGGGTAGATATCATGCGGGGTAGGACTTTTTCATGACTGTTTTGATTATTTTTACCTCACTAACTCTTTTTCATTTTTGTTATCTTTTATTTTATTTTCATCATTTGCATCCTTCAAAAGAGGTATTGATCCACCAAAAACGTGTTTGTTAAACATGAATAATCTGTATTAATGGACAAAGGGGTTATAATACAAGAAATGAAAAGATCATGAGTCTCGTTATGGTCAGATGGGATTCAGAACAGACCGGGATTACACCGAGCACGCCAAAAGTCAACTTTTTGAGCCAGCAAAGGTTGTAGGGGAAAGACGAGAAAAGGTCATTGACATGGAGAGCTCCTTCAAAGACAATAGGCCACTATTGACAAATTCAAGAAGCAAGCTTTGGATAGTTCCTATCGATGGAGGACTCCAATGGCACTTTCGTTAGGAACAGGCTCAGCAAAGAGTGAAAGCCGGAGATGCAGTCCTTCGAAACTTTTTTTTGGGCAAGCAGCTCGTCACTTGCACAGCTTAGCCAGAGCAACCGAAACAGCTCGACAGTGTATTCAACAAGTGATAGAAAGGACGGAATATGAATCAACTTGTCAGATGTTGTTCGGGATCTATACCATCAAAAAGTTTTTTTGTCTCTTCAACGTAACACTTTTGTCCCCAGTAAGGATTATTTATAATAATAGACACATTTTTTGGATCAATGCCTCAAACATTGTATGCATTATTCATTTAAACATATTTTGCATTTTGTTATGTTCATTTCTTTACATTCCCATTAACTAACAGAAGCATGTCTTCTCGAAAGGAACAAACATTGGATACTCCACCTCAAGCATTGGACACACCTCATCCATATAACACTCGTTCAAACAGAAAAGAGCGAGAATTTTACGATGAAGACAAGGACATTCCCGAAGTAGAAATTTGTGCGTCTGAGTGTATTTCATAAGAAGCCATGACAAGTGAAACAATTGAGATATGGGAAGCAAGTGCGGTTGAAGGCCCTAATCTTCGACATTTTAGAAATAATGGGGCATCCTAATGAGAATTTATTCCATTTTGCACCATCCTGTTTGAACTTGTTTTTTTTAACTTTCTCATATTTCTTTTCGAAACATGCTTTTGAACTTTGACATATTTCTTTTTACGATGATATTTCAATGAATTTACGTTGAGCATTGAATCAAATTTACAACTTGAAATTCTTTGAATATCAGCTGAATTAAAAACTCTGTAAATGATTCAGAGTTACATATCTTTGACAAAGTAACCTGATTAAAAGCCGATAAAACAAAAGACTTTGACCTTACCCAGAAAATACGTTCGAACACCACATCATTCTTTTACAAGAACCGATATAGTATTTTCCTCTCATAAAAGAATGAAAGATGCTTGGTAGTTAGATGTGCATAGGTGCGGACAACATGGGGCATCTTTTGCATATGACATTTCTATATTTTTTGTTTAAGACGTTCAGTGATGATAATGATCTTCATATATGGAATAGTCGAGTAAGCAAATCTAGTTTAGGTCAGTTGTTTGGAAATTGAACTCTAAAGATGAGATTCCTTGACTTTCAAAAACACCAAGACTATAACAGGTTCTTCTTGACAAACTTAAGAAATTAGACCCGTATACCCAAATTAATATATATATACAATAAAGCTTGAGTTGTCCCTCTAAAGCAATTGGTTAACACTCTGACTTTATGGATAAGATTCAGTTAGCCTGATAAAGGTGATTATAATAAAGCTTGAGTTGTCCCTCTAGAGAAATTGGTTAAACGCCCCGGCTTTATGGATAATATTCAGCTAGCCTGATAAAGGTGGTTATAATCTATACAATGATATTAAGTTGTCCCTCTAGAGCAATTAGTTAAACGCCCCGGCTTTATGGATCCATCTAGCCATACAATGGCAAAATTAAATAAGGAATTTTGTTAAAGATGGACTAAGGGAGTTAAGGAACACCTGTTATAGTTAACTACACACGAGCACTCAGGAATTTCTTTTTTAGACCGATATTTTTGCACTACCTTTGTTAGAGGAGCTTACAAAACTTGAACAAATAGAAGATTTCAGAGAATCGAAATAGAGGGTCTAGTAATTGATAATGCTAGTTGTGTCATTTTGTCTGCATCCAATTAAAATTCCAATCCAAAGAAAAACCATGTTGCAACGACTGAAAAAAAAATGACATTTTTTATGGCTGAAACCTTAGGTCAACTTAAAGGCAACTCATCCACTTGAATATTTGTCAAAGAGCTATAACTCTGAAAATATTAGCTATTGATTCATTTGATATTCTTTGAACTCATGTTTATGATTTGATTCGATTTGATTGCGAGCCTGAATTAAGGGGCAATATTTTATAGAATTATTCTATTTTCATATCCTTTTTTCCATCCTACATAAGAGAAAGAAAAAAACATTTTCAAACAGGGCAGTCTCAAATGTGAAAGGCTGTAACCAGAGAAGGAACTGGGGCATGATTGATTCCGAGCACAAGACCGACATACAAAATAAGGCTTTATCCAGAAGATTAAACAGAGCTGATTCATGTTACGTGCATCTTAGGCATACTTAAGAGCATCACATTTGTTATTTTGTTTGCATACATATTTTTTGCAGTTTTAGAGTCAAGTTTCGACTTCAAGACGAAAGATACTCGATTTGAAAGCCCCTTTAAAGATCGATGGTGGTTACTTGACTCAGCAGTTAGAAGCTACACCTCAACCGACTTCACATATCTACATATCTCATAATCAATTTCAGATGGGTCCGAGAGCTAATTCAGAATGAATCTAGATCAGCTTAACTCAATAATGAGTAGCAGGTTTCCAGTTAACATTTTCAAGCCAGATTTCAACTCCACGACGGAGGATATCGTGCCCACATCCACGATATCAACTTCACAACGAAGAACGTCCAATTAAAAGCTCAATTTCACAACGAATGAGCCATCCACGATTTCAACTTCACGAAGAAGAATATTGTGGCCGATGAAGTGATTTAGTGTCACAGCAAACATGTCATCCACATATTTGACTTCCTTAAGTCAACGATTAGAGCTTCTGAAAAGGATTTCTTTAACATGCAGGAACAAGCAGATTATATATCGCCTTTGAGATTGTTTCTCTTGAAACAAGGGGTCATCTTGCTTGAGACTAATTTACTCAAAACAAAGTTATCTCTCTTGAGACAGTTTCTCTTTAAACAAATTTTGTCTCTCTTGAGACAGTTTCCCTTGAAACAAATTTTGTCTCTCTTGAGACAGTTTCCCTTGAAATAAAATCTTTGAATATGTTTTACATTAAACAAATTTCATCTCCCTTGAGACAATTTCTTTTGGAACTAAGTTTTGTCTCTCTTGAGACAGTTTCTCTTGAAACAAATTTTCTCTCTTGAGACAGTTTACCTAGAAACAAATTTTGTCTCTCTTGAGAAAGTTTCCCTTGAAAGAAAATCTTTGAATATGTTTTCCTTGAAACAAATTTATTCTCCCTTGAGACAGTTTCTTTTGGAACTAAGTTTTGTCTCTCTTGAGACAGTTTCTCTTGAAACAAATTTTTTCTCTCTTAAGACAGTTTCCCTTGAAATAAAGTTTTGTCTCTCTTGAGACAATTTCTCTTAAAACACACAAAACAAACCTTTGAAAATGTTTCTCTTGAAACACCAAACCTTCGAGTTCGATTCCACTCAGCTCAAAGGCAAAACAAATTTACAGCATAGCTCAAGGCAAGAAGGGCTATATGTCAATGAAATTGTCGAGTTCAATTCTATTCAGCTCGATGACACATCAATCACACTACTGTCCGGTTGCAGTCGAGGTTTTCAAGTCGAGAAGACGACCTGAGTTAGTCGTGCCTTAGTAACAAGAAATCGTTTTCCGGCAGCATAACTTAAGTTAAGAAAATCTATCTGTCAACGAATACCTTTTGAATTTGATTTCATTCAGCTCAAGGGCCTGTCAACCACAGGGTGGAATCAAAGCATTACTTTCCAGTCGAATTTGTAAACCAAGGTCTTTAAACCGATAAGAAGACCGAAGGGCAACGAGAAGCCACATTCCGATTCAAATTCCGAACTACGGTTTCAATTCCATATCATTTCAAGATGGGCTCAACTTCACGACGGAGGAGCCATCTACAACTAAATTCGAGAGGGAGTTACTCCTAATTCAAATCAATTTTCAACTCCACCGAGCGAAAATTTGTGTCCTTTTGTCTTTGTCCTATTTTTTGTTCCACGAAAAAGGATAAATAGGAGCAGCTGTAGACAATCATTTTTGCCCGGAATTATTTTGTTTATATATATATATATATTATATATATATTATATTATATATATATATATATATATAATTTTTGAAAACATTTTTAATATATATATATATATATATATATATATAATATATGGTTGAAAAACATTTTTGAAAAATTATATATTATATAGTTTTAAAAAAAAATTTTATATATTATATAGTTTTTAAAACATTTTGAAAATATATATATTATATAGTTTTTGAAATTTTGAAAACTTATATATATATATAGTTTTTAAATGTTTTTAAAATATATATTATATAGTTTTTAAAAAAATTTTTAAAAATGGTTTTTTTAATATTTTTTAAAGTATATTATATAGATTTTTTCTTCTTTTGACATATTTATTATTATTATTATTATTTCTATTTATATATTAATTAAAAAAATTCTTTTTTTCGGTTGAGGTCCAAAGAGTCTAGTCCAGTCATGTTTGGGCCTGACCCAGCTATCAAGGCTTAGGGTTTGGGAAACACATCAAACACAATACCCACGGGGAACACCGTCATCGAGAGCCATAAAAATACCCAAAACAGAACAATACCAAAACCAACTACATCAACAGTAAACCAAACACCGAACACAAAAAAAACGAAACCAATAGACGAGTATATCCAACACAAAGCAACCATCATCGAGCAGCCAAGTTCACAAGCAAAGACACAACACAAAGATAACAAAGCAAAAAAAGAATAAATACAAATAAACCCGAAGCGTCGCCGGTGAAAAGGTGAGGATACCGAACGATCTCGGCTTAGATCTACGTTTTTCAAGGACAATTCTGCGCAATCGCAGCTCAGGTTTAGGTTGAGTGTGTTGAGGAGATTTTTTTGGGTTGGGTTTGATTTTCCGGCCGGTGTGGCGGTTGGCGGCCACGGGTGGTGGCCTGCATGTGACCGGGGAGGGGGAGTGTTGAGAGAGATATCATATTGAGAGAAGACGTGAAAATGAATGTGTTTGAGCGTTATTTTTCATTTTTTTATATGACCCGTATACCCATCTGTAACCCGAGGGCAACCTGACCCATTAAGCAAGGATCCGTGTGTTTTCAAAAAAAAATGGGAAAATCTCATTTTGGTCCCCCTATTTTATGAAACTCCTATTTTTACCCCAATCTCAATTCAGGTTTCGATTCTCTCTTAAATTCGATCATAATCTTGTTTTTTATTACAATTTGATCCCTTGTCGTTATATTTTTTATTATTTATTTTTTTCTCTTTTTATTTATTTATTATCAATACTTTTTTTTCATTTTATTATTGTTCCCTTTTATTTTGTTTTATTTTTTACTTATTTACTTACTTATTTATTGTTTGTTTTCCTTCTTGTTAACATTTATTTTCATAATGTTTCTTTTTATTTCTTTTTATATCTAACCTGTTTTATTTTCTTTTATTTTCCTTTTTTTCCTTTTTTTTCTTTCTTTCTTTAATTTTTGTCCCAAGAATTCATCAGGCAAGATTCTGAGGAAGGATCTAATAAAGCTGGCCACCTCCAAACTTTGATCGCTTTTAGGTCAGGCATTTCTTCTCAATTTGCATTACTGAAACAACAACGGTGGTATAAATATGATGCTTCTGTTTTCAATAATCTGTTTGCTATCAACTGTGAAAACTTTAAGTCCTGCTGCATGGTATTTGATCTGTTGCAAATCAACTGTGTGGGTACATAATACAAAAAGAAATTGATTCGATCACTTACCGTGTCCGTTTCTATACGTGGATACCAATCAAATGAAAAAATGAAACTAATAATGTTCACCATCTTCCCACTTGGATTAGAATTCCATTGTCCCTTGCATACGAAGTTACTGAGAAAGAAACCATACTTTAAAACTCACCTATATGTTAAATTAGAGCATCCAGACTTTCAATTTCAAATCAGAAGGCTCACCTTGGTTCACCATTTTTCGACGTGATCATCTGGAATCACATTCCTTCATCAGCTAGCCTCAGGCACAAGAACATTTACAATAGACCAGTGCATGTGGCACCCTAACGCATCAACCAACTAATCTAAAATTTGCACCACGATGTTGGTCCCATTTAACCTCATTCAAGCTTTCACGTAGTTCTAAATAGATAGTGGAAGAAGCATCCTTCTTTTCTTTTTCCTCGCCAACCTCACATGCTTTGCGATTTTCATGCAGAGAAACTAATGTATTGTGATGCATACTAGGATAAAGGCAGGTTGCATATGCCTAAAATATAAAGAAACAGCTGAAAAAACCAGGAAAACTAAAATGACGAGTTCCCACATAGCAAAGACCATAACATCCACCATGCATCCACTAAACATAAAAGAAAGCATAACTATTAGAATTGGTCATTTGCCGAGACAGAGAAACAAATTGCAGAATGAAGATGAAATGAGCGTATCCGAATAAAGCAGGTACTCTAGACCGACTAGACGTCTAGTTCTTCATTCTATTTTCCCAACAAAAAATTCAAATTCACAGTGTTGTAACCGGTTTTCGCCCGGGTACGAATTTTTCTTGGCGGGAAAAGTATGTGAATAAATGAGTGGTTTTTATTGTAAATGTTTTGGAGTAGCCATCGACCTTTTGAGTTAGGTAGGTCGAATACCTAAAAATCATCTTTTAAAAGAGTTTTTAAAAAAATATCAGTTAAAAGATAAACTGGTATGCATATAACCAAAAAATCATTCTTTTTATTAATAAAAAAGGATTCGTGGTCGGTTACGTCTGGGGAAGGATTAGTACCCCACAACACCCAAAAATTGGTACCCTTCGATTATAAATTGTCTCTATTAGTAGAAATCTAAGAATTCTAATATGAATTTAATTTACGATCATTTTATTTCAGATTCAATCGTATAATTCTAAGGAAAAATATATTAAAAATAATTTTTATAAAACTAAAGTAAATATATATATATATATATATATATATATATATACTTAGGGTTTTATAAATAGGGCATTTATTTATTTAAAATATTAGAAAATGACATCTAGTTACTTTAAGACATCCTATTTCTTTAATATTAAAAAATAAATAAATACTATTATTTAATTAAATATATTCATATGAAATAAAATAATAATTAAATACTATGTTTAAAATATAGAAACATAAAGAGTAAAAAATAAAATAAATTTGCAATCAATATTAATCAAAATAAAACTATATGATTAAATTGTAAAAAAAATCTAAATTAATAGCCCTAATTCAAATTATTATTAAATATAAGTACTATTAGTGTAATTTAATTATAATTAATTAATTTGGAATCAAAATAAAAATTATAAAACATTATAGGGGCTAAATCTATTATTTACCCTAAATACATATAAATATAGTGCAGTGACTAAAATATAAATTAAATAAAATTCGAAGACTAAATTAAAAGGCATAGAAATATGATTTCAGTGACTAAATTGAAAAGATTAAAAATATAAGGGACCACGAAAATGATTTGCGCATTTATGAAATTACATAGAAATCCCTCCCCCAAAACGATGTAGTTTTGAGGAGGGTATAAATAGGCATTAAATAGCCCAAAATTGCTAAACTCTCTCATTTCTTCATTTTGCTTCTCTCTCTATGGAGAGAGAAGCTCTCACTTCTCTCTAAGGAGAGAGAAGCTCTCACTTATCTCTAAACTCCCTCATCAGAGGGAGAGTCGGCCACTGTAAGTCACCGGTCGACCATCGCCGATCACTATTTCGACCACCGTCAGCCATCGTCGATCACTATTTACGGCAACCGAAAAATGCCAAAAGACACCAAATCGAAGATCTCGAAGCCTTAAAGTCGAATCCGACCTTAGTGTTTCCTAAAACCCTCTAAAATTTCCTAGATCTAGGATATTTTACCTTCGACGTTTCAGTTTCCGGTGACCTTTGAAGACCTCCGATGTAAGCATCATTTATTTGGTAAGTTTCTTTCTTTTTTTCTTCTTTTGATTTGGTATTTGGCTACTGTGGGGCCTCGGTTTCTTGCTTTATGTTTGTGGTTGTTTGCTTGTTGTGTGTATGGTTACTGTTTTTTTTTTTTTTTTGCAGGCTCGGCGAGGCTTTTATAGCCCACCACTGAGCTCCCTTCGGTCCAGGTAAAAATGGTGCCTTTCTGTGAGTCATCGAACTATAGTGGTGACTCACCATAGGGCATCAACGTGGGTGGCCATCTCGCCTTCTGGAGGCTTCTGGCAAGGGTGGCAGAAGATGGCTATAGCACCTGGTAGGGAGGAGTCGTGGAGCGGCTGGAAGCCTGAAGAAACCCTAGAAGGGTTCGGGTCGTCTGAGCTTGGACCGGGTCGAGCCTGGATCGGATCTGAACCTGGGCTAATTCGGTTCTGGGCCTTTGGGTTTGGGCCTCCAGGATTGATTTGTAAATAGGCTTCTTGTAATGGGCCTGTAATATGTATTTGTAATTTATTAATGATAATATAATAATATTATTTTTAATAATAAAATAATAATAATTAAAATGATAATCAAATGGATCAAAAAACTAGTGTCTACAACTGCCCCTCTTTGCTCATTCTTGTGTTAACAAGAATAGGGCAAAGACAAAAAGACAATAAGTTTTTTGTCCATTTGACTTTTCTTAATTAAGATGGAAATGTTGATGATAATCTATCTCCTTCTACGATGAATCGAGCTAAGGTTGAACAAGTTTTTCAGATTATGAACTTCTTCTTCTTCCTCTTGAGATGAGTTCTTCTTATTATGAACTCCTTCTGGAAACATTGATGCTGCTCTATCTCCTTTTCTTTTGGAAATATTGATCCATCAATTGATGGATTCGAATCTTTGCTGAAATCTTTGCTAATCTTTGGAATTTCTGTCAAATATTCAACATCTAGATAAAAATGTGAAATGAATGCAAAGAAATTTATTTAAAGAGGAACTATCTCAGGTGAGATAAAATTTGTTTTAAGACGTCATTGATTCGAAATGTCGTGAATCAAGCAACAAAAATGTTGAAAACATCCAGCACTAAAGGTCTTATGGATGACCCGAAGGCTTTATCATCTTGCTCAAAAGGCTAGAGATGACCCGAAGGATTTAAGCATCATGCTTGAAAAACCTACAGATGACCTGAAAGATTTACACATCATTCTCGAAAGACTTACAGATGGCCCGAAGGAC